TTTTTTTTTAATTGCTTATAAAGAGTATGGGGCACAAATTCCAATACAATGACTTGGGAACAAATTAATTTTATAGGCATTTTTGTACTTCTTTAATTTGACCTTAACAGCAATTTTTATTGGCAAGTTTTAATAGTTTAGTAGAATTTTTTTTAATTAAAGTAAAAGATTTTAAATTTAAATAATATGACATGTGATTAAGATGAATTCAGAGATAAAAATTATTTTTATTATATAAATTAAGATAAAAAAATACTTTTTAATTTTATAAAATCTTATAAAAAAAAATATTTGGAACAAATATTTGGATCTTAAAAAATTAAATTTTATTTAATATGATTATGGTTTCTAATTTTTAATTTTTGTTTTTATAAAATTTGTAACTTTTTAAAACCAAAATTAAAAACCAAAAATTAGTAATTTGTTTGAAACAAATTTCAATACTAACGATTAAAACTATAAACTTGTTTAAACCTTCTCAACCTAGGGTTTTGAGACTTTACTATGGCTTCCTCTCTTTTCATTCTTCTCCTCCATTCTCTCTTTCTATTTTTCCTTTCTATTAAATTTCTTTAATTCCTCAAGTTTTGGCTTAGGTTTTTCATTTTTCTAGCGTCGTCTAAGTTTTGATTTTGTTTCTTGGGTTTTTGAGTCCTCTTCGATGGTAGTCCTACCCTGATGGTCACTAGGGAAAAGCAGTGATAGTTAACTTCATGTGACGGAGTTTTTGAGGAAGGAGCTGTCGGACATGCCTAAAGGGATGGATGAATTAGTGGATGAATTGGGAAGTAGGTTGTCCTTGTTGAAGGAGCAGGAATCTGGCCTGTACAGAGCTGGGATGGGTTTTTGACGGTGGCGAATTCAAAGTACAATTTCACAATGGTGTCCCAATGCGTTTAAACGCTTGGTGGTGGAACAGTTGGGTGATGTTGGCTAGAGGATTATTTGGGTACAACAGTGCACGCAGAGGAGGCACAACAATGGTGCTGGAGTCAATTTCAGGAGACAAGGGATTGACAATTTGGCACAAGTTTTAGTCAAGAATTGCGTAATTAGAGATTTTTTAAATTTTAATGCTTTGGATGAGGAGTTTTGGTGGTGAATTAGGAAAATTAGGAAAGGGACTCTTTTAATTTATGTTATTAAAATTTTGGTTGTAATGAAGATTATTTACTTACTGTCTCCATTCAACTTTAACGGACTTAAGTTTTAATTTAGGGCATTTAAATTTAGTTATTTATTCTTTTTTGAGAAGAGTTTTATATAAAAAAACAAATTTTAAAATTTTTTATTTAAGAATATGAACTTTTTGAATTTTTAAATCAATAATAAATTTTCACTTTTTCTATTTAAAAGCACAAACTTTATTGTTGTTTCTATTTAAATATGCAAACTTTGCCTTATTTCGATTAAGGTTGCCATTTTCTACATATCATTTCTATCTAATAAATC